CTGTCTTGTAACAAGCAGCTGATGGCTCTCTGAGTCACCAGTTGTTCCAGGGGACTCCCACTCCCACAACATCAGGTGCTCAAGGGCGCTTGGTGAATGTCAGATGTTGCTGCCAGTGGTGGGTGGTGTTGGCGTCAACTCAGGCAGGAGGAACAATGTAACATCACTCTAAAAAAAGGAAAGCTTGCTGCTCCCCTGCTAATGAAATCTGAAACAGGAAGTGGGAGTGTCAAAATGTGGTCTCAGCTATCTACAAGCTGAAGCTGCAGCGTTTGGTAACACTATTCCTCAAGTCACCAAAAAAAAAAAACAAAAACAGGGAAATCATGAAGGTATTTAACTTCTGGGAAGATTAATACTTGAGAAAACCGATGTAATAATCTTTAGAAAACTAATAAATGGAATATTCACATCTTTAACCCTGTTGGAGATCATGGCAACCCATTCCAACATTCTTGCCTGGGAAATTCTCTGGACAGAGGAGCCTGGCAGGCTACACTCCACGGGGTAGGACAGAGTTGGACATGCCTGAACAACTGAGCATGGATGCGCATCGGTTAAGAAGAATGAGGTGTAGTATTATGTGTACTAAAAGGCTATATCTCCACGACATTAAGTGGAAAAAGCTTGCAGGTAAATGAATGCATGCCTTGTATATTCAAACTCACTACCAAAAATGATGAGGTAGGGACTCCCCTGTGGTCCAGTGGTTAAGACTCTGCACTTCCACTGCAGGGGACAAGAGTTTGATCCCTGGTTGGGGAACTAAGATCCTTCATGCCTCATGGTGCGACCAAAAAAATAAAACACACACAATGATGGTATGTATACATTACAGGGAACATACGTGTGTGTATGTGTCCAAAAAAAGGTTTGTAGCATACTGATAATAATGGTTACCCTGAGGAGGCTAGAAAGCAGGCAGGACTGTGGATAGTGATCACAGGGAACTTTGTAACATTTCAGTCTTCTAGAAGCATATTTCATTTAAAAGTTTTAACAGTTAACATTAATTTAAAAACTTAACAGTTGTTAGAGCAAGCAACAGAGAAGGCAATGGCACCCCACTCCAGTACTCTTGCCTGGAAAATTCCATGGATGGAGGAGCCTGGTGGGCTGCAGTCCATGGGGTCGCTGAGAGTCGGACACGACTGAGCGGCTTCACTTTCACTTTTCACTTTCACACATTGGAGAAGGAAATGGCAACCCTCTCCAGTGTTTTTGCCTGGAGAATCCCAGGGACGGGGCAGCCTGGTGGGCTGCCGTCTATGGGGTCGCACAGAGTCGGACACGACTGAAGTGACTTAGCAGCGGCAGCAGCAGAGCAAGCAAATACTAGATGTAATCCTTAGTAAGGGAGAGCATTACCCTTCTGATCAAGTTTGTTAAAATGGACATAGTTCTACGGCTTTCCAGAAATATCCAGTCTGAAACCGACCACATGAAAGATGCCCACACACTTCAGAGGCACAAATGTGAAAAGAAATACTGTCATATGTCAGCCAAGTAGTACTGGAACTGACATTTGCTCAGCAGGCCTTACTATTTGGATTTAGTCAACTGTGTTGAATTCTACTACTTCCTATAGTACTTTATGGCTTTCCAATAGTCTCATTTGAGTCTCACGACTCGGCATCTCCATTTCACAAATTAGAAAACTGAGGCTCAGAAAAATTAAGTGGGACTTCCCTGGTGATCCAGTGGTTGGGAACCTGCCTGCTAATGCTGGGGACCTGTGTTTGATCCCTAGTCTGAGAAGATCCCACATGCTGTGGGGCAGCTAAGCCCATTCACTCCAACTATTCAGCCTGCCCTCTAGAGCCTGTGCTCAACAAGAGAAGCCACGAAAATGAAAAGACTGTGCACCTCATCTAAAGAGTAGCCCTCACTTTCCACAACTTAGAGAAAACCTGAGTGCGGTAATGAAGATCCAGTGTGGCCCAAAAGAAATAATAAACAAAACTTCCTAAAAAAGATAAGTGACTTGTCTAAAATCAAGGTTAGTAAAGGGTAGAGAACCTGTATTTTCCAGGAACTGAACACCTTCTCTGATTTCTCCATTCTCAACAAATCCAACTTCAGTAGTTAATAAAAGTTGTCGGAAGCAAGCTTTCATCTGCTTGGTAGCAGCCCCCTTGGTCCACTTTCTACCTGAACATAGGTAACTGAACTCAATCCAACATCCAATTTCAGAACAAAATTCACCCACCAAAGGGACTGCCCAGCTGCTAGCAAGTCTGCTGTCAAGAAAAACAGTCTCCATCCTGGCACAGCTGTAAGTGATCTAGGACACGGTGCTGGGTTCGATACCACAACCCTGTGCTGCCTGGTGACAACTGGTATTCCGTCACGTCCTCTTAACTTTTCATGATGGGTCCCTATCCTGTTTCCCCAGTTAAGTCAGAGCTCTAAGGAACCTTCTCTTATCCTTCCTTAATTCTCAGTAGCCAGCCTCTGAATGAATATGCACTTGATAAGCTCCTTCGGCCTCGTAATGTAGCCAGAACAGGATAAACTTAGGTATAGTAACACACTTTTAAATGAACACACTGCCCACGAGAATCGACACTTCGGAAAATAAACTTGCTCTTCTTCCTTGCCTCTTCAAACCTGCCCATGCAACATCCATCTTTATTACAATCAATAACACAACTCTACTCTCACAAATTGTAAGCCCCCAACATTGGACTCACTCTTGACTTTCATTTATACTTTACTTCCAATCCATTATAAATCTCATTGGCTGTGCCTTCAAACTCCATTCAGAGTCCAGTTATTTCTTCCCACCTCTAGTTGCTTCCTCCCTGGTCTAAATCACGGTCATCTATCACGTGGGTCATTAGAATGGCCTCCACTCGCCTCTTCTAAAGCAGTCCCTGTTACGCAGTTTCTTCTCAAGACAGCAGTCAATGGACCCTATTGCCATCCATGTTGACCATATCTCTCCCTCTACTCAAAAGCCTCCAAAGATTTGCTTACTCACATGGGACAAAATCGAGTTCTTACCACGTCCTAAGAGGTCACTTGGTTCTATCATCTCCTATTACTCTTCCTCCTGGCCCATTCCTCTCTCCGGCCCCTGGAACCCCTGCTCCTTCTTGGGCACCCTACTGTTTATTCTCTCTCCTCTGGGGTTTTGCATGCAGCCTTCACTTTCCCAGCAATACTCTTCCCCATGAAACCAGGGCTAGCTTGCTCATCATCTTTCAATCTTTCCCTAAAGGTCACCATGTAGGGAGGCCTTCCCTGATCAGGTGGCCTGCAGCCACCACTCCTCTCCCGAGTACACTACACATACACACACACACACACACACACACACCTTCCCGGGACTGCTTAGCCCCTTTCTTGTCTTATTTTTCTCCATAGTACAATCACCTTCTAACACACTCAATAATGTATTTCATTTGTCTAACTCCCCTAGTAGAATGTTTGCTCCAAAAAAGTAAGGATTTTTATTTCTTTCCTTCATTGCAGTGTCCCCAGAGCCCACAACATGCCTGGCACCTACAGATGTTTGATAAACATTTGTTGAACAAACATGATTGATAAAGATGGAAATTCCATAATATTGGTGGTTGTCTAGGGACATATACTTTCAGATGTGGCAGGTCAGAGTGTGAATTGGAATTACCTGTTTGGAGGACAATTTGGCAAGATCCAGGCTTCCCTGGTGGCTCAGATGGTAAAGCGTCTGTCTGCAATGCAGGAGACCCAGGTTCGATCCCTGGAGTGGGAAGATGCCCTGGAGAAGAAAATGGCAGCCCACTCCAGTACTCTTGCCTGGAAAATCCCATGAATGGAGGAGCCTGGTAGGCTACAGTCCATGGGCTCGCAAAGAGTCAGACACAACTGAGCAACTTCACTTCACTTTTTGGCAAGATCCATCAAAAATTAAAAAGGCATCTTATCTATGACCTAGAAATTCAACTGCCAAATATTTATTCAAGAGATATACATGTCCAAACACATAGTTCAAGGATATTTACTGCAGTATTATTTTAATAACAAAAGGCTGTAATGAACTTGTTATTCATCCATTGGGATCTGGTTAAAAAAACATAAGGGCATCAACCAACCACATAAATGCAACTGTTAAAGATCATAGAGAAGGAGTTCTTCATGTGCTGGTGGGACAGTCTCCGTTGTAAACTGGGTGAAAAAAGTCAGGGACAGAAATGTGTGGAGTATGGCACTGAGTATAAAGGGAAAAGGCTCTGGGTGCCTATACTTACACGTTTGCATAAGCATTGTGTGTGTGTAAAATATGGAAAATAGTAAAAAAAAAAAAATTCAGTTGCAGCTGACTCGTTGGGNGAAAATTATTCAAGGGCTGGGAGACTTGAAGACATTTTAAAGTTCGTTGTGAACAGAGTACTTAAAAAACTCACTTCTATAAAGAATGAATCCATTTTTTCTAACTTTTACCCTGTGTGGTGCTGACACGCTAAAAATATGCCCTAACCTCTGCTTTGAAGGCAAGGAGTGGGGGCGGGAAGGAGGACCTTTTATTTCCTCGGGGAGTGAAGCCAATAAAACGTATGAATAGATCCAGCCCAGCCTCGTGCTCTGTGACTCGGGGGCGGGCTCCTCCTTCCCCCAGCCCCATCCCCAGCTGCGCCCTCGGAATCTGCCATCTGGCGGCTGGAGTCCCGGCTTCCTCCTTAGAGGGCAGCAGCGGAGCGTCTCGGGGACGCATGCGCCCCAATTTGCGCCCGGGGAATTAAAGAGCGAGAAGAAAAGCCCCAACGAAACCCGCGCCCCAAACAAAACCCAAGTGGAGGAAAGCGCGCGGCCCCGCAGCTCCGGGGCCGTGGAGGCGCCTCCCGCCTCGCCCGCGTCCCCGGCCGCGGCGGGATGCGCACGGACCGGCCCGCGACGCCCCGGCCGCCACTGTCCCCGCACCTGGACGCCGGTCGGGTGGCCGCGCCCCAGCCGCGCTCGCTCGCCGCCGCGGCTCGCCCCGAGTCTCCCGGCGCCGGCGGGGCACCTCGCTCTCCATGGGGCTGAGGGACTGGCTGAGGACCGCGTGCTGCTGCTGCCCCTCCAAGTGCCTGGAGGAGCCCGCCGTGCCGGAGAAGGAGCCTCTGGTCAGGTGGGTGCGCGCGCCCCGGCCGTGATCTGGGGCTCCCTGGCTGCCGCCGGGCACCACGGACTCGGGGTACCCGTGTGCTCGTCCGAGCTGGGGAGGTGCGCCTGTTTTAAGCTCACGCGGAGGCACAGACTAAGCCCCTTGGTTCCTTAAAGAAGATCCTGCTCCTTGGGGGTTGTTCCTTGGTAAAGTTTTTGCCAGAATGCACGAATCCTTGGAGGCGCCTGAGACCCAAGAAGATGCGTGTGGGAAACGGCAAGAGCTCGGGTGCATTTCCCCGGGTAATTACTGGAGAGAAGTTTGCACAGAGGTCCTATTAAATACAACTGTGATTGTCTGTTACATAGGCATGTTTCAGTGAAGTGGGCGACTGTGAATTTCTTTCACCCAGGAAAAAAGTTGGATACCTTATCATTCAATTTTGTTAGGAAGAGAAGACATTTACAGTGACGGAGAGCAAGGAAATATTTTTCACATTAAAAAAAGTAACATATTTTTCTCAAGGGACACTGGAACGTTGATTCATGACAGATTAAGCTATTAAATGGGAGGAAATTAATGCACGTTAGCAATGTGCTAAGTGCCTTTGTGAAGGGACCATACAACACGGCTTTGTTCTTGGCTGTGATTGTAAGCAATTATTTTATATCTTGACTCTGCTGAAATTAAGGTTTCATTTCGGCATGACTTGGGGGTAAGTAGGGTAGAAACAAAATATTTAAAATGAAATTAGGAAATAGTAGATGAGGCAAAATTCCAGGGTTGCGTAGGGGAGAACATGGAAGTCAGTGTTTCTTATGAAATATGCAACTAATATGATAAAGCTTTCACAACTTTGTAAAAACACAATTTACCTTTTCTTACTCTGTCAAGTCCAAACACTCCCCTTGGCTTTTGAGATCTTACATAACCCCTTCCCTCCTGTCCACTCCTGTTTTCCAGTATATTACACATTGTGCACTCTTTGATTTAATCAGACAGGCATCCTTACTGCGCTAGGAACAATCTAAGCTTCTTATTCCCTCCAAGCTTGTTTCAAGTGGTGACCTTTATTCTTCCTGCCCCTTCTTAAATGCCAGTTTTCAAGTCCCCCTCAAACAGTCTTCTTTGATTTTTTTGTCCTTATTCATCTTTCTCTCCTATGACTTAGCTAAACCCTAAGTTTAGCTAAACTTGCTGTCTGCCTCTCACAGTTTAGTGAGCACATGTATATGTAAACTTGTATGTCCTGTTTGTTTTGTGTGTAATATACACACCATACAGAATGTTTTTGTTTGCTCCTGCAATGGTATTCCCACTTCGATTATTAGATTGTTGTGGGCAGGGAGAAACCCAGTAATCTTCCCGTAGTCTTAGAATAGTGGATAGCAATCTGGAATTTCAGGTTTGGATTATGCCCTTAATTTGTCAATATTCATAGTAACATGAAATAACAGCCTTCAGCTTGGTCTCATTCTCAGAGCCTTGGGTCTTTCCAGTATTCTTTTGGGAATTGCTATTTAAGGTAATAGTTTTGGTTGTTTTAAAATCTCAACCCTCTTCTGCCTTGGTTTACACTCTAAGTCAGCAAATTTGCAAGTGATTTTAAGACTTTAGAGTCAGTTGGGGCAGAATAGCGTAGTGCGTAGGAGCCAGATTTCCTGGGGTTAAATTCCAGCCTGGGTGACCTGGCGCAAGTTATGAAACTTTTTTTGTGCTTTAATTTCCTCATCTGTAAAATGGGAATGGTAATAGTATGTACCTCAAAGGGATGCAGTGTATAGATACCTGCATGTTCTTTCCTGCCCAAGTCATTAGAAGGTCTAGATTGAAATCTTTTTTAAATGTGAAGTTCACTGCTTTTTAATACATTCACAAAGCTGTGCAGTCATCAACACCCTTTAACTCCGGACATTTTTCGTCACTCCAAGAAGAAGCACTATACTCATTGGCAGTCACTTGCTGCCCTCCCCTCCCTGCCCACCCCCTGCCATCCCCTAGGCCTGCAGTCAACCACGAATCTACTTTTTGTCTTTAGAGATTTACTTATTCTGGACATTTTGTATAAACGGAATCCTTCAATATGTGGCCTCTTGCATTTGACTACTTTCACTTAGCATAATGTTTTCAAGTTTCATCTATGTTGTATGTTTATCAGTACTTAACTCTTTTTATCGTTGGATAATATTCCAGTGTATAGATGTTTTACATTCTATTTATCAATTGATAGATATTGGGGTGGTTTCCACTTTTTGGCTTTTAAAATAATGCTTCTGTGAACATTAGTGTACAAATTTTTGTGTGGACATATGTTTTTTATTCTCTTGGGTATATACCTAGAGTGGAATTGCTAGGTCACATAGTAAATTTACATTTTAACTTTCTGAGTTGCTGCCAGGCTGCTTTCCAAAGTGGCTGGTTTGAAGTCTTGACGTGGTGAAGTCAGATGGCCAGATGGTCTTAATTTTTATTTTATTAAGAACTTCATTCTTCATGTCATTTTTTTTCATTTGTACAAAGAAGATTTTATACAGACACTGCCTGCCCTCAGCTGAATCCTTTATTCCATCATAAAACAGTGGTTATCAAGCTTTATTTCATACCCCAAGGCAATAGTGCTGGAAGAGATATGGTTGGAAGGAAGATGTTTGTCATTTGTGCACATGGTCACCTGCAGTCCTTTTCCAAAACAGACCAGGGAATCTCATTAGTTCAGCAAAACTAGTTTTTAAACTCAGCTCCTATGCCAATCTGAGATTGCCACTTGAGGTTTTTAAAAAATATCTACTTATTTATTTGGCTGCGTTGAGCCTCAGTTGTGGCACACAGACTTGGGAGTTGTGGCAGCGCATGGGTTTTGCTGCCCCGCAGCATGTGCGATTCCAGTTCCCTGACCAGGAACCCAACGGGTGTCTCCCACAAAGCAGATTTTTAACCACTGGACCACCAGGAAAGTCCCTGTGTGTTTGATCTTGCTCTGTTTGCTTTTTCTGGAATTCTGTACCTAAAGGGAATGGCTGTCACTTTTCTGGCTTGCATCTATATTTTTCTCTGTCCCATGAGTTCTTTCTTTGCCCTTTCTCTCGAAGTGTGCTGGGGCCGCCCCGACTATAAATTCATCCCCATGTTGCTGTTTTCTTTAGCGGGCATCCTCTGCTTTCCCTCCTGTCAGGCGCAGATGTCTTTAAAGTGCAGTCGGTTGTACCCCCACCTCCTCCTTCACCTCCCACTCAGCATGAGATCTGGTTCTTTCCCTGCATGATTCCATGAGAACTCTTCTCTTGAAAGTTACAAGAGAAAGAAGTCTGCTGCTCTTCTCTCGGTGTATGTGGAGTGCCCCTATGCTGACCATCCGGTCCTGATTTCCCATTTCCTCCTTCTCTGGCCTCTGATTTCGCATTTTCTCATCTCTGTGCCTGTGATCCATCTAATCATGCTGGTTTCCCTTCTGGTGTTGCTGTCAGTGGCATAATTGTTAGCCAGACATCTTTTTGTTTGCTCTACTGCTGAAGATTCTACTTGGATAAGGTCCATTTCAGTTGCTGCCTATATGATGAAGTCTTAGAAAGTCTCCCCAGACAGTTATGGTGTCTCTCTTTTTTCTGTTTACCTCTTAAGTCCCTTATTGCACTCTCCCTGGTATTATTTCACTTGTAAGGTGGGGACTGTGACCCCTATCAGACTGTAGATTCTAATCTAGATTGGGGGGGGATGAATCTTACTACTTTAGCATCCCCTAATGTGTCCAGCACAGTCTTCCACATGGAGTCAGAACTGAATTAAATACTTTTTGATTAATAAAAATTATAATGGCTGTTAATTTATTAATTTCTTCCTATGCATAAATTTTAAAAAATATATTTGGAACAAAATGTTATAANGAAGAGTCTGACACGACTGAGCAACTGAACGACAACAGTACATAATTTGTTTTGCACCAGTAATATGCCCTGCACTCTATTCTTTGGTGTTTTTTTTTAGAAAATAATTTTGGTGAGACTGTATCTATCTAAAGAACTCCTGTACTGCCTGGAAAGGAGTTAAGAGTTTACTGTATTGCCTCTCATTATTTTTTTCTTAGCTTTTAAAATCTTATGTTTGTATATCAAAGACTGAAAACATACAAGCACATGTACAGTGTCAAACACAGCTACAGGGACTTCCCTCGTGGTCCAGTGGTTAAGACTTTGCCTTCCAATGCTGGGGGTGCAGGTTTGATCCCCAGTTGGGGAGCTAAGATCCCACATGCCTGGTGGCCAAAAAACAAAAACATAAAAAAGAAGCGATATTGAAACAAATTCAATAATGACTTTAAAAATGGTCCACATGAGAAAAAAAAAACAAAAATTTTTTTAAGAAAAGAACAACTACAAGATGGATACTCCTATAACCACCGCCCAAGGCGGTGAGAGAGCTGTGGGCAACCCCACACCGCCCCCCACCCCTGATTACATCTAGACTTTTGTGATAGTCATTTCCTTACTTTTCTTGATAGCTTTTCCACCTATGTATGCATCTTAAAAATGGACTTTAGCTTTGCCTGCTTTTAAACTTTACGTATGTAGGATCAAACTGTGTGTGTTCTCGACTTTGTGAGCTTGGTCCAAGCTGGGGCAGGCCGTCGGTGGTTCTCACTGCTTTGTGGTGTATCCCCAGTGATTCACCCATTCTTCTGCTGGTGGATTTTCTGGTGTATTCCCCTTGGTTCACCTGTTCTTCTCTTGGTGGACGTTTGGGTGGTTTCCAGTTTGGGGCTCTTACACACGGTATAGATTTTAAAGTCAGTGCATAAGGGCAAATTGCTCATTCTTCAGCCACATTGGCCTCCTGGGTCCTCAGATAGACTCTTAGCGCCCTCCCTGCCTTGCATGTTCTTTCTTCACTTAACCCAGGAAACTCCCTCCCACGATTCAGATCTCTCCTTAGAGTTATTTTATCAGAAAGATCTTCCCTGACCACCCTCTTTCAAACAGTACTTTTTACCCTCACTCTGACCCTTATTCCTTCAGAGGCTGATCACCACC